GTATTATACAACTCATCAGGTAAGTATATGTAGACCTGTATAAACAATTATTGGTAAAATGGTAGCATTCGATGGGCACATTGAATTGATTTGAATATTAAAAGCTAATAATTCTGCTTCAAAAATTATCACTATTGTTAGAATATAATGTGAATATCAAAGTGTATCTCTTTAAAAAGAATATTAATGGATTGTATTTAGGTGTTCATTATGTCCCGAGCAGTGTTTGTGCTTGTATTTGATCTGACTCTTGATTTGAATGCCAAAGCTTTTATCGACCTTCAGTCCGACCATCGTCTAAAAGTAAGTACACCGGGATAATTATTTAGTTTTTCCTTTTTATTCAATATTTCCCTCAGCGGTTTTGATAATTATACGATTATTATTATTTCAACAATAAAGACACATGTTGAACTTAAAACAACTTGAAAGGCGTTGTTAACAAATAAATAAAGTACTCTATAAAGTCACTGCAGAAATTAGAATATGACCCCAAGAGTTGCACGCATGGAATACAGTACAACCATGCTTACAAGGGGCGACTCAGTGTAGAACATATACCGTACTGTACTTGATACTTAATAGATGTACCAGACAATCGATTGTCATCCACAATCTACACCAATATAGCTGTATTTCGTACATCTAAGACACAAGATTTTGTCAGCTAATTTGTAACGTATACCGTAAAATACATAACTGTTTTATCTACCCGGCATAATTTGATTGTAAAATAGGCTTGTAACTTTCATTCAGAATTTTCCAAAGTGGATGGTAAAGGTGTCTACCTTTCTTGGATTGAACAGAAAATGCAAAGTTTATGAATTAGATATGACAAATTTGGACTTTATTATGTACTGGCTGTCTTCTATCTATGCACACACTAAAGAGAATATACAGAAGGATGGAGCACAAACCAGACAGCTATCTCCTCCAATATTCTTTGTAGGAACACATAAAAACAGCTTACCAGGAGGCAAATCAGAAAAAAACGCAAAGGTATGTGTAAAATGTTTTATCATTAATATTATTTATTGGATGTTTGAATAAAATACAAAATACAAATTATCTATCAGTAAGACACCGCATTCGTATTGGTATCTTAATCGCAACATTTTAATAATTAGTTTTTCTTTAATTCACTTCTGAAAGTAACGCTTAATACACATCATTGCTATAATAAGCAATTTTAATTGTACTAAAACATAGTAGAAATAAAAACCTTAAAAAAAAACATCAGTTGTTATTGTGTCATTTTAGTTGATGGTAGGCCTATTATTTTACTCTCTTGCTATTTATATTTCACAGATCAAAGAAATATTTGATACTCTACGGAAAATGCTAAGTGAAAAGCCATACGAAAAACATATCGTCGCTAGATTTTATGCAATAGACAACAGTTTGCGGAATGATGGCGCAATGCAGGAGTTGCAAATTCATATTTTAAAGGTTGTTGAAGAGCAACCGTATATGAATGAACACGTTCCAGCTCCATGGATGGCATTTGAATATGCGCTGGAAGAGAAACGTCAAGAGAATGTACAATGGATAGACATGGCGGAAGTAAGGCTGTTGTAATATTAGCAATTGTTGAATATTTGTAAATGGTAGATGTATATATTGTGTCACGTTTAATTACCAAATACAAATTATATTAATTATTAACTGGTATTGGAACAAGTTTTATACCATCTAATTCAGCCATCTGTATGTTAAAACTTATGGGTTATTTTTCTTGGGATTATACTACAGACCTTGATTAATAATAGAATAGAATGTCTGCTTTATTTTTAGGCAAGTGAGCTAGCTACAAGGTGTAAAGTAAATGCCGCTGAGCTATCCACACTTCTACAATTCCAGCACGATACTGGCAACTGCGTTCATTTTGTAAACACAGCTAAAGCGGATGATCCATTGAACTTTTGTATCATCCTCAACCAAATGTGGCTCAATGACATATTCAAAAGTGTCATCACTATTAAACCACCACAAGATCAGGTAATAATTTATTTCATTTGCACCCAACAGCAAGTAGGCCTAGGCCTATCTTGCTAAATTCAGGATGGATGATATGTTTTGAGGTTTCTTCATGAGGCTTGGGAAGTGAAATTTTAGTCTTGAGAAAAAGTCCTGATGTCACAAACATGGAACCTAGGAATCTGGGATTAGAAGGCAAGCATTCTGACCACTAAGCTATGCAATTCCACTAAACTTAAGTTATACAAATCCACTGCAAATATATATATATATATATATATATATATATATATATATATGTATTATGTATATATATATTATATATTATATATATATGTATATATAATTATATTCAACTAAAAACAAGGTGTTCTAAGAAGTGGCTTTGGCAAGAGTGTGTCTGTGACATATCTGTGAGGTATGATCTTGACAGTGAGATATACAGGTTGAGTTCTCTCCTGGGCCGGGCACTTCTCCAAAACGATTTGGAGCTTTCTTGCAGATGACTGACGATCTTTGCATCATTGCCTTTGTTCGACTGTTTCCACCATTACTTGATATCATATACATTATGTTTCAATTTCTTGTTTAGCTTGCTCTATTTAGAAGCTCATGGGACAAACTAGCGTCTGAAGGTCTACTTGATGAAAAGCTTGCACGACATGTCTGGAGAGAATATGAGATTGACCCAAATGTGTTGTTTGGATTAATGAGCAAGTTTGACCTCTTGTGTGAAATGCAGTTTCCACCTGAGGTAAAAGATAGCTGAAGATTATCGAACAACAATGATGATTATCATTTAAATATTTGGAACTAAATATTTTTAAATAGAAATGCATACTCGCTTATAATAAAAACCGAACACGTTATAAAATGCATTTAATTGGTTGTCCATTATTATAATTTTATGTCTTTTACAGTTATTTTTCTTCAGTGAAAAGACATATACAATAATTACGTATTTATATACATAATTTTTTATATGTAAATAGATATGTAAACAAACTAAACAGTATCCTAATGAATAAATCTATCTTAATAAAAAAATATGCAAAACTATAATAAGTACGGTAACTATGTTATCATTAACAGGAGTCGGCTCGTAGACTTGCAGAAGAAACACGGGTTTTCTGTTTGCCATGTTGCTTAAGTGAAACAATTGAAGCTCCTTTATTGGTAAAAGATGGCGATTGCACCATACGTTTCTTTGTCGATTTTGCTGGTTACCTACCATGTGGGCTGTTCTTCAGATTAATGGTGCGCGCAATTTGCTTCTCTCAAGAGTGCGGAGGACGTAGCGGACGAGATCAGCATCTTTCACGTTACAGTGCCAAGTTCTACATTGACCAGGATCACCATCTGTTTATAAGGATTTACACCAAAGATAGGTCATTTCTTGAGGTAAATTTTAGCTATAAATGCACAAATAGCTCGCTCTGTTTCTTACTGAATTTAATTTAGACCAACATTTACGATGTAAGAATTGTTTTGCTTGTGCTTTCTTCCTGAGCAGGTGATGGTAGTACGTGTAGCTGGAGATGGTGATTACCCAAGCCCAGCAGTTTGTCAGATGGTAAGCACTAATACTCCGCTTATTCTAAGTTCGTCTGTCAAAAATAAACACCAACTGTTTTTAAATAATATGATAAGATAATTACTGTACAACAAAAACACTAATATTTCAACTGAATATTATAGATACGGGAATTTCTGATGGCTGCATTGACTGATATCTGTAAGATTTGGAGTAAAGGTGTTACATTCACCTTTGGGATCCCGTGTGATCAATGTGAAGCTGAAACTGGCAGACTACATCTGCACACCTTTGATGACTGTATACGAGCATCTAGAGTACCTTGCCAGGAGAGACGAATGGCAACTGAGCGATTTCAACGATTGTTTGTGAAAGGTACATTATCACCTTAATAGTGTTAACTTTGGGGCTTCTGATAGTAACATTTAATTCTTTCGAACTGCCTTTACAAATTGGATTAGCACTAGTTTCATTATATTGCCCTCTTTTTTTTTTAATGATTTATTAAAATCTTTCTTTGAAAATACTAGATGTTTCTGAAATTTCGAAGTTGTTCAGATTGTTTGCTTTTGTTTTGCCAGTAATGCAACCCCCATGTAGCCTTCGGTTGAATGCTGAAAGAACCAATTACATGTAGCACGTTTACAAATATACCGGTACTTGTCTTTATTTTAAAATAATGTTTATTGAGCTTTTAACCACACAAAAGTTCACACTTTTTTTTAATGTCTGTTCCCTTCTGAAATTTGTTGCCTGCTCCTCTACATATTATAGACTTACAATATTTTGTCGTTGCAGGTTTTGATCATGTATACATACAAGAGAAAAAGAACTTTCATATGATTCAGTCACTTGTAATTGATCTTGGAACTGAGCAGATGAGGAAGTTTTTTCTCAACCAAATCCAAATTAGCAGAGGTGATGTTGGGCGGTATCTTATTAATGAACAGCATGGCAAATTTAAGGGTGTCAGGTTGTTTGCGGACCAAAAGCTTAAAATGTTCAGAATTGATGCAGATATCACCAGCTTTGATATCACAATAATGATGCTGCTAATTCGGCACTGCTGTGGCATTGTATGTCCTGACAAATTCTGGACAAATCCAGATAAACAAGATAATTCAGAGCTTGCAAATTTGGTCAGAATCCGCGAGTACAGGAACATGAATCTAGCACATCATCCCAACAGTAGAATTCCATCCAATGAGTTTGAGGATGAATGGAAGAAGCTTACAGCAATATTCCAAGGTGTTGGCGTTCCAATCGATGACATTAACACATATCGCCAAATAGCTGTATAATATTGTAAATGAAAGAACTATAGAATAGACAATAGACTCAATTAGACATTTAAAGCAATGTGTAATTCACTATTCTTTTCTGTAATAACATGCAAACCATATTAATGAAAAATGTAATTTTGCTGTCCATTTCTAGTTCAATAATAATAATAATAATAATAATAATAATTATTATTATTATTATTATTATTATTATTATTATTATTATTGTTAA